TCAATTTTCCCTCAATTTTCTCTCAATTTTCCCACAATTTTCCCACAATTTTTCCCCAATTTTCCCTCAATTTTCCCTCATTTTTCCCTCAATTTTCCCTCAATTTTCCCTCAATTTTCCCTGAATTTTTCCCCAATTTTCCCTCAATTTTCCCTCAATTTTCCCTCATTTTTTCCCCAATTTTCCCTCAATTTTCCCACAATTTTCCCTCAATTTTCCCCCAATTTTCCCTTAATTTTCCCTCATTTTTTCCCTCAATTTTCCCCAAATTTTCCCTCAATTTTCCCTCATTTTTTCCTCAATTTTTTCCCAATTTTTCCCTCATTTTTTCCCCAATTTTCCCTCAATTTTCCCACAATTTTCCCCCAATTTTCCCCCAATTTTCCCACATTTTTCCCACCATTTTTCCCACTTTTTTTCCCAGAATTCCCTACTTGGAAACCAGCGCCGCCAGCGGGAAAAACGTGGAAAAATCCGTGGATTCCCTCTTGGAATTAATCCTCAACCGAATGGAGCAACTGGGAGAGAATTCCCGGAATTCCGACGCCGGAAAAAACCCGGAAGCGGGAAAAAAATGCTCCTGTTAAAGAATTCCGGGAAAAACTTGGGAATAAAAAACCTTTGGAAGAGGGAGGAGCCTTTTCCTGGTTTTTCCTGGGAATTTTTTGAGCCTCTTTCCTCTTTTTTTTGGGAATTTCCAGTTTTTCCAGGGGGATTTTGGGGGATTCCAAGATTTTTTTTCCATGGAAAAACCTCGGGAATGAAACTTTTCCTTCCTGAAAAATTCCAGCTGGGAGAAGTTTGGGAATTTTTTTCCCCTTAATTCCCAAATTTTCCAGGAATTCCCAAAATTAGGGAATAAAAAACCTCTTGGAATTTTAATCCTTTTTTTTTTTGGGAATATGAGGATTTTTGGGATTTTTGGGATTGGGATTTTTCCAAAAAATCCCCTTTTTTTTCCCGGTTTTTCCCCCCCAAATTCCCCAAAAATTCCCCAAAAAAATCCCCAAAAATTCCCCAAAAAATTCCCAAAAAATTCTCTCAAAAAATCCCAAAAAAATTCCCCAAAAATCCTCAAAAAATTCCCAAAAATTCCCCCAAAAATTCTCAAAAATCCAAAAAAATCCCCAAAAAATTCCCCAAAAATCCTCAAAAAATTCCCCAAAAATCCTCAAAAAATTCCCCAAAATTCCCCCAAAAATTCCCCCAAATTCCCCCAAAAATTCCCCAAAAATTCCCCCAAAATTCCCCCAAAGTTCCCAAAAAATCCCCAAAAAATCCCAAAAAATCCCCCAAAATTCCCCAAAAAAGGGTCTGAGAAGGAAAATTCCAAAGGAAAAATCGGGAATAAAAGCCTTAGAGCCAAAATTCCCGGATTCCCCTTGGGAATGTGACTGGATTTTTGGGAATTTTGGGAATTCCCAAGGGAAAAATAAAAGGAATTCTGGGGTTTGAAATCATTTTATTGTCGAGATTCCCGAAGTTTTGCAGCTTTTCCAGGTTTTTTTCCAGGAAAAAAACCCTCTGGAATGTTGGAATTCCTTCTTCCAGGCCGGAATTCCCGGGTTTTCCCTCAGCATTCCCGGTTTTTCCGCCGGGAGAGGAGCAGATAAGGAGAATTCCCGAGGATTCCCAACTCCGGGAGGGCCCTGGAATGAAGGAAAATCATGGAATTGGTGCCGTTTTCCGGGATAAAATCCCGGAATTCCCGGAATTCCCGAGGGTCTCACTCGGTGCCGATGGCGCGGGAAGTTTTCCGAGGGGTTTTTCCGGTCCAGAATTCCAGTTTTTCCTTCAGGTCACGGTTCTGGAAGGAGAAAATTCCCAAGGAAACACATGAAATTCCCAAAAAATCCCAAAATATCACAAAAAATTCACAAAAAATTCACAAAATATCCCAAAAATTCCCCCAAAAATTCCCAAAATTCCCCCAAAAATTCCCCCCAAAATTCTCCTGAAATTCCCCAAAAATTCTCCGAAAAATTCCCAAAAATTCCCAAAATTCCCCCAAAAATTCTCCCGAAATTCCCTCAAAATTCTCCAAAAAATTCACAAAAATTCCCAAAATTCTCCCAAAAATTCCCCCAAAAAAACCCCAAAAAATTCCCAAAAAACTCCCCAAAATTCCCAAAAAATTCCCAAAATATCCAAAAAAAAACCCAAAAAATTCCCCAAAAATCAAAAACAAATCCCAAAAAATCCCCAAAAAATTCCCAAGAAAACCCCTAAAATTCCCAAAAAACTCCCAAAAATCCCAAAAAAATTCCCCAAAAATTCCCCAAAATTCCCCCCAAAAAAACCCAAAAATCCCAAAAAATCCCCCAAAAAACTCCCAAAAACCCCAAAAAATTCCCAAAAAATTTCAAAAAAAACCCCAAAAAATTCCCAAAAAATCCCCAAAAAATCCCCAAAAAATTCCCCAAAAATTCCCAAAAAAACCCCCAAAATTCCCAAAAAATCCCAAAATATCCCAAAAAAACCCCAAAAAAATCCCACAAAAAATCCCAAAAAATCCCCCAATAAATCCCAAAAAATTCCCAAAAAACACCCAAAAAATTCCCAAAAAATTTCCAAAAAAACCCCCAAAAATTCCCAAGAAACTCCCCAAAATTCCCAAAAAATTCCCAAAATATCCCAAAAAAAACCCAAAAATTCCACAAAAAATCCCCCCAAAAATCCCCCAAAAAACCCAAAAAAATTCCCAAAAAATCCCCAAAAAATTCCCAAAAAATTCCCAAAAAATCCCCAAAAAAAACCCCAAAAAACCCCAAAAAATTCCCAAAAAATTTCCAAAAAATCCCCAAAAAAATCCCCAAAAATTCCCAAAAAAAACCCCAAAAATTCCCCAAAAAATCCCCAAAAATTCCCGAAAAAATTCCCATTTCTTTTTTGTTTTACCTGGAATTCCAGAGCTTCCAGTTTTCCCGACAATTCCCGGATCCGTCCGTCCTGGAGGCGGAGTCGGGAATTCAGCTCTTCCGCCTGGAATTTTGGGATGAGGAAAAATCGGGAAAAGTGGGAAAACCTTGGAAAAAAATGGGGAAAAGGGTTTTTTTGGGAATTCGGGAATTCCGACCTCCCGGATGGATTCCCGCAGGGAATGTTGCTGCTCCTGGATCAGCCCCTGGAGGTGTCGGATCCGGTCGGAGATTTCCCGTCGGAATTCCGGGAATCTGTGGGAAAACAAGGAGAAAAAATTCTGGGAATTTCTGGGAAAATTCCTGGAAAATTCCGGGAATTTTTCAGGTTTTATTTGTGGGAAAATTCCTGGAATTCTGGGAATTTTTCAGGGTTTTTTTTCTTGAAAAAATTCCTGAAATTTTGGGAATTTCTCAGGGTTTTTTCCTGGAAAAATTGTGGGAATTTCTGGGAAAATTCCTTTAAAAATTCCAGGAATTTCTCACCCTTTTTTCCTGGAAAAATTCTGGGAATTTCTCAGTCTTTATTCATGGAGAAATTCCTGGAATTCTGGGAATTTCTCGGTCTTTTTTCCTGGAAAAATCCCAGGAATTCCTGGGAAAATTCCAGGAAAAATTCTTGGAAAAATTCCAGGAATTCCTCCTGTTTCATTCCTGGAAAAAATTCCCAGAATTCCAGGAATTTCTCAGCCTTTTTTCCTGGAAAAATTCCTGGAATTTCTCACCCCTCATTCCTATAAAAATTCCCAGAATTCCTGGGACAATTTCCAGGAAAATTTCCAGGAAAAATTCTTGGAAAAAATCCTGGAATTCCTCCTGTTTCATTCCTGGAAAAATTCCCCAAAACTCCTGGAAAAATTCCTGGAATTCCAGGAATTTCTCAGCCTTTTATTCCTGGAAAAATTCCAGGAATTTCTCACCCTTTTTTCCTGGAAAAATTCCCAAAATTCCAGGATTTTCTCACCCTTTTTTCCCCGGAAAAATCCCCCAAATTCCAGGAATTTCCCACCCTTCATTCCCATAAAAAATTCCCAGAATTCCCATTAAAAATTCCCAAATTTCCTCACCCTTCATTCCCAGTTTTCCTCTCCCGGAGCCGCTTTTCCCGGGAATTTTTCTCTTGGATCAGGAGCCGCTTTTCCTATGGGAACAAAAACCCGGGAATGAAACCTTTGGAATTCCGGAATTCCATGGAATTCTTGGAATTTTGGACCAACCTCTTCCATCCTCCGGAGCCGCTTTTCCAACTCTTCCGTCCGGAGCCGTTTTTCCCGGAGTTTCTCCTCCAAATTCCGGGAATTCTCTTGGATTTCCCGGAATTTTTCCGCCTCTTGGAGCTTCCGGGTCTGGGAAAAAAACCTTGGAATTTCCCCTGGAATTTTCCCTTGGAATTTTCCCAGGATTTGGGAATAAAACCTTGGAATTTGGGAATAAACCCTTGGAATTTTCCCTTGGAATTTTCCCTTGGAATTTTCCCGGGATTTGGGAATTTTCCCTTGGAATTTTCCCCTGGAATTTTCCCAGGATTTGGGAATAAAACCTTGGAATTTTCCCCTGGAATTTTCCCAGTTTTTGGGAATTTTCCCTTGGAATTTTCCCCTGGATTTTTGGGAATAAATCCCAATATTCCTTCCCAGTTTTTGGGAATAAATCCCTGGAATTTTCCCTTGGAATTTCCCCAGGATTTGGGAATAAACCCTTGGAATTTTCCCTTGGAATTTCCCCGGGATTTGGGAATAAAACCTTGGAATTTTCCCTTGGAATTTTCCCAGATTTTGGGAATTTTCCCTTGGAATTTTCCCCTGGATTTTTGGGAATAAATCCCACAATTCCTTCCCAATTTTGGGGAATTTTCCCTTGGAATTTTCCCCTGGAATTTCCCCAAAAATTGGGAATAAACCCCAGAAATTCGGGACTAAACCCTTGGAATTTTCCCCTGGAATTTCCCCGGAATTCCGGGAATTTTTTACCCTCAATTCCTCCTTCTCCTCTTCCCATTTTTCCACCCTCATCCCGGAATTCCCGACCAGTTTTCCGGAGGCTTCCCGGAGCGCCCAGATCCCGGCTTCCCGCGACGCTTCCAGCTGGAAGAAAAAAACCGGGATCAAGCCCCTTTTCCATGGAAAAAACCCTTTGGATCCTCGGGAAAAAATTCCCAAAATTTACCTGGATCCGCAGCTTTCGGTTTTCCCGGAGCAGCTCCTGGATTTCCATGGAATTGTCCCGGAATTCCTGGTTTTCCTCGTTCATTCCGACCTGGAATTTTAAGGCCATTCCCGGATTTCCAAACCCTTGGAATTCCTGGATTTTGAACCCTGGAATTCCCGGATTTCAAAGCTTGGAATTCCCGGATTTCAAAGCTTGGAATTCCTGGATTTTGAACCCTTGGAATTCCAAGATTCCAAACCTTGGGAATGGGATCCTTGGATATTCCTGGGAATGGAATTCCAGGATTTTCCAGGAATGGGATTCCAGGTTTTCCTGGGATTCCAGGTTTTCCCGGGAATGGGATCCTGGATAATCCCGGGAATGGGATTCCAGGTTTTTCCCTTGGAATTTTCCCAAGATTTGGGAATAAACCCTTGGAATTTTCCCTTGGAATTTTCCCAGGATTTGGGAATAAAACCTTGGAATTTTCCCTTGGAATTTCCCCTGGAATTTTCCCAGATTTTGGGAATAAACCCTTGGAATTTTCCCTTGGAATTTTCCCCTGGAATTTTCCCAAGATTTGGGAATTTTCCCTTGGAATTTTCCCCTGGAATTTTCCCAGGATTTGGGAATAAACCCTTGGAATTTTCCCCTGGAATTTTCCCAGATTTTGGGAATAAACCCTTGGAATTTTCCCTTG